AACGTATTTTAAGACCAAGTATGTTGTATGTCATCGCATGAGTTGGAACTCTTGTCAAGCATGCTGTGCTCCTCCAGGGACCGCGCCCTTGTGATAACATGTCCAAGTATATTAGAGGAAGTCTCACTATCCTTGCCTCAAAGGAGCATTCTAGCATTAGCTATTTTGTGTTTTTATCGAGTTTTTCTTTAAATTTATTTAATACTTTTTGAGTTCAGAAATGCATTTGATATGTTTCCAAAATTACTGAGCATTTGTCTATATGAAAACTTCTTGTTTATTTCATTAACTCAACTAGCTTTCAAAATCATTATTACTTGTAGCATTTTGCTCTTGCCACAATATACATTTTAATTTTAGTGGAATGGAAGTACAATGTTGTTAGGTGCCGTCGAATCAGTTCTTACTCCATAGTGACCCTGTGTATAACAGAACAATACACTGCAGTGTCCTGGACCATCCTCACAGCATTCCTATTCTTGGGTCCATTGTTGCAGGCACTGTGTCAAGGGCCTTCTTTTTTGCTGCCCCACTATTTTACTGGGGACTGGTCTCTCCTGACAACATGTGCAAAGTATGTCATATGAAGTCTTTCCATCCACGTCTCAAAGGAGTAATCTGACTGTTTTCAAGACAGATTTGTTTGTCCTTTTGCCCATTCCATGATACTTTCAGTATCTTCTCCAATACCATAATTCAAATGCATCAGTTGTTCTTTGGTCTCCTTTATCCACCTTTTACATGTATATGAGACAATTGAAAATATCATGGCTTGGGCCAGGTACACCATAATCATAAAAAAAAGAACATACTTTCAGTACTTTAAAAAGGTCTTTTGCAGCAGATTTACCCAGTGCAAGGCATTGTTTGCTCTCTTGACTGCTGTTTCAATGAACATTGATTGTTCATTGATCCAAGGAAGACAAAATCCTTGACACCGTCGATCTTTTTTCTGGTTATCATGATTTTACCTATTGGTAGAACTATAATAGGTCAGCACAAAAGGAGAGTTCTTTGTAACTCAAGTAACATCTATAATTTTTACATATACTTTTTTTTGGGATATTATTGGTAAATCTGAATTATAAGCCTCTTATGTGTTATTCATGTTGTGGTATTAGATATATTCTATACTATAAAATGGTCATTGTGCTATATGGTACACAAATAACAAATGGAACCTCCAAAAGCCAAGGACTAAGATGAAATTTTTCTTGAATACCAAGGTCCTAGCAGAAAACTAGGTCCCTGGGCGGCCCTTTGTGATTGTCTCCATTTTTTT